TGACGAAGAGACGATGGTAATCCCGGTTGTACTTGGGCTGTTCCGTGGGTGCTTCAGGCAAATCCGGCACGTCCTCCAACCCAAAGGCTGCTCCAGCATTGGCATTGTTGGCCATGGTGGAGGAATTGTTTGGTCAACTAAGCAATTGTTGATTTGGTTGAGCTGGAATTTTGGCAGAGCTTCTTTACAAGTAGCAGCTTTCAAAATAATGAGCTCAAAACTGAAGAAATGAAGAGCTGAACTGAACTGAACTGAACTGAACTGACTACCGATCGCTTCGGTCGCACAGGATTTGCTCGTTGGTTGCCTCTTTGTTGAGTATACGTCAACTCGTACGATTCGATTCATTGGATTCGAGTGGTAGAGTATGGACGAACGTATCTTTCGTCTTTCTGCAACGGTTGGATCGGAACGATTGGATCTCATTGGATTTGTACGGTATGTGTTGTGTTACTTAGGGCGAAATTGGAATCCTCTCACTATCTTATGTATGCAGGCGCCTCTGTTATCTCTTCTCTGTTGCAGTTTATTTAATAGTGAGAGTCTTATTGAGAGGATCTTTGTTTCAATGACTGCCAATACTGTAGGTTTTCTACGTAGCATACTGTGCCAGATCCTGACAGTATGTGGGATCCACTAGTAGTAGGGGGAAGCACATACTGACACTGTGCAACTACTGTTGCAGAAATGTAGTACCGTACCGGTACTGGTACTGACAAGTACGCAGAATCGCAAGTTTGGTCGGTGGCTGGAGAACACGCGCGGCATCCCGTACCGGTATCTGGTGCTGTTCTGCGACCATCGAACTGGTCACGCTCGCGCCCTCGGCGAGAACTTGAAAGACTTAGTAAAGTTCTATGGTACTCAATGGAGGTGCTGCCACCATTGCCAATGACACCAGCAAAGGAAGCACCAACAGCACCAAACACCAAAACCATGTCTGCTGAAGATACACAAGCTACTACCGGTATGCATAAGGATTCCATGACAATGGAAATGCTGGATCAGCTGCTGGCTACACTCCTATTGGCAGTCATTGGAAAGATCCATCAGGAACTCCACGAGGAGCGCCAACAGCTCAGACAGCCAGAGCCTGAATCATACCTGTCCAATCAGTACCTGACCATTCTATTCTCCAACGCCCTTGGCCAGGTGGCACTCGACTATCCTGCCCTGGCGTTTCCTCTGGTCTTCTTTATGAAGAAGCAGGCAAGGGCTGCGGATAGAGATATGCAGAGACAAGCCTCAGCCTCACAAGGTAAGACCGCACTGTTACAGCAGGAACAGGCAGAGCAACCACGGTATCAGTCACCGCTGACACAAGAACAAACACAAGAACAGCTGATGCAGCAGTTAGAACAACTTTTGCCAGACATTGCAAGGAGGATTCAAGCCGCATCGTCACTAGTACCGGTACCGGTACCGGTACCTGTGGTGAACCCTGCGCCGAGCAACGGAAACACTGATGGGGCTGGTTTACATATGAACCACCACAGCAATACTGCTGGTTTCGATGCAGCTGCCACTCAAGGAAGCAACTGTCACTATGCCGCTCTTCCGTCCAACCAGAAGGCTTCCCATGTGTCTCTGGGGGCACAAAACGACAAAGCTGCTTCCAGGCCAGTGAGTGAACCTGCACCACAGGCAAAGCAGCCAACAGTACCAATCCAACAGGTGCAGCAAATGCTGCGGCTGCTGCAGCAACTCCCACCGAGTCAACGTCAATCTCTATTGCAATCGACGCATGGAGGTACCGGTACCGGTACTGATACGGTTGGTGCACAACAGAGAAGCCATAACGATGGAACTGAAAGCCATCCTACCTCAATCACAGGTCCGCCACCCTCGCAACAGCAGCAGCAGCAGCAGATCACGCCAAGTGATCTTCAATCCTTGTTGCAAGCCTCGCAAAAGGGCGGGTAGGCCAACAATTGGTGTCATGAACCGCGCGTCTACACGAACGACTAAGGACACGTTGCTACTTTACCAAAAAGCTTTGTCGTTATGAGATATACTTTCTGCCATCCATAGCAGGGAAACCACTGTCTGCTGGCAGCGTAGTATAAAATATGAATTTGAGAGACACTTATGCACTTCACACCAATAAAATATCATCATGTAAACCTCACACCATTCATGAGCTCTCCGCTTCTGCCGAGATCTGTCGACGACCCAAAGCGCCACAGCACGAACCAACTTGATCGAAAACAAGTACTGCGCTGTGGTTCTTTTCCATCGATCCCCGTTTGCTGGGCGCTTTGCAAAAAGCAATACTAGTAGATGAAACCACCGTTCTGTCCCGTGGTAGTAGCCAAGAGCTCCTATAATGATAGCAACCAAACCGATGACAATGCCGTGACTACGAGCGCCAGCCACGAAACAGCACTTGGTAAAGCACGCGAGTCTGGGAATTCAATGTCTCTGGTGCCCGTGGGCGATGCTGTGGGGAACCGTGTCAGAGGCGCAACAGTAGGAAATTGCGAGATCGGTTCTTGTGTCGAGGAGAAATCCGGCGTGGGTGCCGCAGAGTTGGGATCGTACCGCGGTGGGTTGATGCCGCTGAAATAATCCGGTTCGACCAGTTGCACCAATCCTTTGACACGTTGTCTCAAAATGGCGTTATGAGCAATGGCCTCATTCATGGCGGCAATGTATTCTTCCGGTGTGGGACCTCGGGGTAGGGGGGCAAAAAGATGGTCTTCTTCTTGATCATCGTCTGGGTAGTTGGTCGAGTCATACTGAAGATGTCGCCTTCGTTGTCGTTGCCTCGCTCTTCTGGAGTAAGCTTGGTCCTCGTCGGCTCCCACGGGACAAGTACACACATCCTCTTCGGGTGCCGTGCTATTTGTGACAACGATGCGTGTCAAAGCCTCTGCCACATCAAGTTCGGCTTCTGGGACTCTGAGTAATGGAAAGTTGACTTCGGGCGTAACCCTGCAATTTCGACAAGTGGCAGTGAGTGATACATAGTAAATAGTGACGAGATCACCCCCGACCACGGTTTGTGTGCTTCCATCATCCAGATCGGCATCATCGTTGTTGGGATAGTTCTCTGGGCTCATCCAAGTACCATCACTAAGACTGCCGGTACCGGTACCGCTTTGACGACTAGTGCCACGAGGGTCTCTTTGGTTGACCGAGTGGAGGGTCTGATTGGAGTTTGGGTCCGTGGCATTCATGCCGTCATCTGTCATGCCATCATCCGTCATGTCTTCCAGGTTTCTGACAATGCTATCGAACTCCAACTCTGCATGGGTATCACCAGCATCTTGATGATCGGCGTCGTAGGAGATCTCTGATAGTCGTCGTCGTTCCCGACGATTCAATCCATCGTTTTGCCGGCTCCAGGGGAAAATGGCATCGGGTTGATCCGTGGGGGCAACGGTATCGGAGGAATCGTCATATGTCTTGGCCAGGGTGACGGAGTATGATCCATCGGCAGCGACATCCTCCTGTTCTGCCAGTGTCATACTTGCGGTGAAGACAGTTCTGAAGAAGCCATCGCAATTTTCAAATGCCAAATAGTTGTAGACATCACGAAAGGTTTCTTCCATGATTCGTTCTTCGACGACGGTAAGTTGGTTGTGGACAACATCTCCATTGAGAGCATCATCAGTGACAGGACCAGTTGGAGGATCTGGATAAAATCCATCCCCACTGGGTTCATCTTGGTAGGATTGCAAGGCTCTTCTGTATTTGGTACTTCCTCCCATCATCATGCCCCCCTTTCCTTTTCCAGAGGAAGACGATTCTGATGACTTTTGCGTGTTTCCTTTGGTAGATTTTTTGGAAGAACGAGATTGTTTGGAAGAACGCGATTGTCTGGTGGATTCCGTGCCGGGTGACGGTGTTGGGAGCGGTTGTGAACGAAAAGCAATGGAAGTGACAAAGGTAGTCAAGAATGGATTTTCGTCACTTCCACATTCGACCTGCATGGTATCTTCGGAATGCTGGAAAATGTTGCTGTCCGAATGGTAGTTCTGGTAATCGTTGGAGCTATAGCTGTGATCCGCACTGGCAGACTCGTACTGTGCATGTTCAGTGGTCGTGCCGCCCTTGCCTTTTCCTCCTGACGACGAAGAGGCAGATTTGAGTTCTCTGTGTCTGGTGTGACTGTCACTAGCCGCACGCCGTTTTGGGTAGTTTCCAGATTGTCCCCTGGTTTTGTCATTGCTGCCTCGATGGCGACGGCTGACTACGCGCCCCGCACTAGCGGTGCCGGTACTAGATGCAGCAGTAGCAAGGACATGGCTGCAGGACAAGCACACGAAGAGCAGGAAAACAGAAACGAAAGCGTGGCGTCTGAACATTGGTCTTTGCCTCTTTTCGCAGGGAATCGTCATTGGCTCAGCTTGAAAAACTTGAAAAACGGGATCTCACCACTAGCTAGCTCTACTAGGGGTATACAGCACGTGCACACTAGAGTATCGGCAAATGGTTTGACTTGACCTGAACTCGTCTGAACTGATCTGAAGGGGGACACCAACTTGATTTGCTGATAAGGGAAACTTCTTGTGGGTGAATCGAAGAGTTTCCTCGTTTTTGTCCTGAACTCCTTATTTCTCTTCCAATAGTAGTAGTGGCATTGCTGTTTCAAGTTTGTTGTCCTTCTTTTGTCTCCAAATGGAATTTGCCGTTTTTTGTTTTTGTTCTTTGGAAATTCAGAGAGGGAAAGATCTATGTGGATTTGGCCAGTCTCCTAAGTAACTTCCCAAAATCTCTTCTGAATTACTGTATTTATAGGCGTGGCATTAAGCGCTAATCCCATGCTTGCGTGTACTTACACAAAATGCGTGACAGTCGACACAAGTACTTAGAGTCAATCGTACCTACGATTGGCATCGCTCCAAAACGAGAAAGCTATCCACACTTTCGGAGCCACTTTTACATGCGAGAGGTATGCTGTAATATTTATGCATACTAGAGTAGATAGAACCATGTCATCAGGGCAATCTACAGCATCTGCATCTGCACCACCAACTACCTCGTGGTTATTACCATGGGCTCTCTGGATCAACTCTATTTGTGAACTCGTCATGGGTATTGGATTCTTGCTGGCACCCAACACCATGATTCCTGATCTAGCTAGGCACCTCCAATGCAAGCACTACCACCAGAGTTTTGGGATCGGCTATACTCACGCTTGCGTGTATTGGATTTCGAGTGGTGGCCAAACCCAAGAATTCACATACTAGTAATAATTCGTCTGCTCCAGTTCTTGGTTTGGTGGCAGAATCCAATCTCATCTTTCACATGGTAGGTGGCGCCGTCTTGGCACACCAGGCGGCATCTGGCAGTGGTGCTGTGGATGATTCTGATTATTCCTTCAATACTATTAGCCACCCGTTTGCTCCTCCCGCAATGCTACATCTTGTGCTGACCATGATTCTGATAGCAGCTCTCTACACGGCGCATTGAGGGCTGGCTGGCTACTACATGTACTATCTGATCAGATAGATATCATCCAAATTCATGGCTAATAGCCAGCCAAAATATGTACAGTTCTTCTGGCTGCTTGCTGCTTGTGGCAATGCCAAGAAGCCGCTGCCTGTAAGGAGGCGACTTTCCCGTCTCTCTGCACCGTCAACTACCCAGATGGGGGCTCAATTTATATTGGTGCAGCAATCGAAGGGATCACTGGCCTTTCATACGATGCCAGCACTAGCTCGTTAACCTGTCAAACTGGGTGTGATGGGTTGACTGTAATTGGATGCTCGAGTGTGGTTCCCCCCTCTGATGTCTGTACTTTGGTTCAGCCAGATGGTATAGCCGCTTTCGATGGTAATGCCTATTTCGGGTCGGCTATTGCTACCCTTGACGACTAGAGTTTGACGCAGATACTAATACTCTCAAATGCAAGCAACAAAGAGAATTATTTGGAGGTGGGCCCTGCCAAGGCGCCATAGTTTCTGGCTGCAGCCAGCTCATCTGTGCAGAGAAAGCTTGTTTTTTCGCACAAATGGCTGAGGTTCATTCCATCAAGTGCAGAGATTTTGCCTGTATTGATGCCAAGATGACAGAACTGCCCAACAATGCACTTGTGAAATGCGAAGGAACATCTGCGTGTCTCAAGGCAGAGATCACTGCAGCATACAGGTCCAGTGCTTCTCGGGTTATTTGCGACGGTGAGAATGCTTGCAGCACAACTTTGAAAATCACAATCATCAACGTTGATTGCCTCGAATGCAGATCATCCGATGCATGCCTTAGGTCGGCCAGTACTGGCTGTGAATTCAATGGAGAGCTTTGCCAGGTTGGTCCCCAAGGAAGCTGCCCTTGTAGCTTGACCACGTCCACGGGAGAAATCTATTTGGAGCAAGACATCAACACCCTTACTGGTGTCTCCTACCATGCAAAAACTAACAGCATCCTTTGTGAAGGCGAATTCCAGGGACTATGCCGGGGTGGAACAATCATGGGATGCCCTACTGTTCAGTGTAGCACTCGGGCCTGTAAGGGAACCACAGTCTGGAAACCAAATGACTTGGACTGTGTTGGCAAATGGGCTTGCCGTGAAGCTATTCTATAGGAACTCCCTTCTGGTGCTACTGCCACCTGCAATGGGGACAGAGCATGTGTGAACGCCACATTCACCTCAGAAGAAGGACAAGGAGGTGTCACCGTGGATTGCGTTGCCACGGAAAGCCAGTCTTGTCTCAGAGCCACCCTCGACGACAGTGCCTTGTAAGCTATTAATAGCTAGCTTGAGAGCTGGCTTGAGTTACATGTAAAAGTATTGTCGGGTTGTCTTGAATCTTGAATGGCTCTTGCTCTGCCAGGTCTTGGTATGCTACTAGTAGCACTAGCTAATACGGTAGCATTGTATCCAGGAGTAACTTTGTCATTGCTTTTACTAGTAACTGATTGCTTCATAGGTAGCTATTAATAGCTATCTAGCTACAGTAGCTAGTCGACATCTAGCAGCAAGATCTGGCAACCAAGTACATGTAAGTGGCTGTTACCGAAGCCAACCAACCAGCCACAAGTGACAAGTTTTTAGCAAGCTACTTGCTAGCTAGCCATGAAGGCAATGACTTCTCTCGCGCATGTAGAATAAGTGGAATGAACGGAATGGAATGGAATGACCCTCTGCCATTGGTGTGCCGTGGCATCTTGGTGGTCGTACTGCATGTACCGGTAGTAGTTTATGATGTTGGCCTAGTGTAAATTTCGCCTTCGAGGCGACGTGGGCATTGTGCTCTGGTGGCGAAAGGCCTGTTCCACAGTGACCATTTCTTTAGAAAAAGTGTTTGTTCCCATTATTTTTACTCATCAGCATAAAAGGACACAGAAAAAACGGCATTTTAGCTGCAGCAAGGAGCGGAGAGGTGCTACCACAGCAAGCCATATCAATGCTTAGCCTGTTAGCTAATAATAGCTAGCCAAGGTGTCAATCTCCATAGGACACCAGCTAGAAAGCAGCTCCTAGCTAGCTAGATAGACTGACTAGCTAGCTAGCTATCTACATAGCTAATTCTAGCTAGCTTCGCTTAGCTGCTGGTAAAGCAAGATGCACGGTGATTTGGACGAGAGCGACCGATTGGATCAATCCAAGGACAACCAGCACGAGCTGCTAGTGACTTGGAACCGACGCAATACCGGTGCCAATGGCAGCCATACCCAGCTGAATGACGCTCAGGAAGAGGAAGACGACGAGGAACAAGAAGAGCTCGAACAAGAAGTAGAGGTTGTCAAGTTGAAACTGACCGTGCTGCAAGGAGATCAGTTGGTGCCAAAAGACAGGAATGTACTCGGTCAATGGACCACGAGGTCAGTTAGTTTCTGGGGAGTTTGTGACTTTTATGTTGCGTGATAAATTACCCTCACATTTTTGATTTTCCCTCATCTCCCAGTGATCCCTACGTCAAGTGTTCTTTCTTTCCTGAAGGCGTTGATGGAATTGGAATGAAGTCCATGGAAAATGGCACCGACCAAGATGAAAATGCGCGGGGCGGGAGCGCGAAGTCGAAGAAAAAGAAGAAAAAGAGAAAATCCAAGAAAAATGCCGAAAGAGGGGAAATCACATTGGGCCAGAGTGAGGTAAGCATTGCAAAACAAGTTGCTTGCTCCTTTGTTCTACTAGCTAGAGCTGTGGCTCATTTTCTCCTCATTTTCCTTCATGTCCATGTCCAGGTTATCCGGTACACTCTATCACCCAAATGGGATTTTCAAGTGGAAATCGAGTTTGCTGTGGAAAGACTCACTGAAGATGCTCAATTCAGGGTCACCATCATGGACTGGGATGAAGATCTCATTGCTGGGGTGGTGCCATCAGATGATGATCTCATGGGCGTTGTCCCGGTCAATGTCACGCCCAATTTGTACCAAAATTTACGAAACACAACCCGCACCAAATGGTATGGAGTCCCCGCCACGTCGGCTTCCAGGGCATCCGGGAGAATCCAGTGTCGTTTGGATGTCACCAAAATACACAAAAAAACAAAAGACATTATGAGTCGACCCATTCCCATCAAACCAATCGGAAAACCCATTCTGAACCAGGCAACCTACAAACCTTCACAAGCGGAAAAGGAACGCAAAAAGCAGCAAAAGAAACAGGCCAGAGAACAGCGAGAAATCGCAGGAGCATTGGCCAAAGGAGAAAGAATAACAATCAAACGAAGCTCCAGCATTTCCAATATATTCTCCTCCATGAGCAGTGCCAGCACAGATTCTTCCGGTCCTGCTCCAGAGCCAGCTGGCGGAGGTGCCGGCAGATCCTTCAAGAGAAGTGGGAGCATTTCCAATTTACTATCCACCCGAACCATTGCCAGCACCTCAGACCTAAGGTCCAGCAATGTCTCTGCCAGTACTACCAGCAACGGCATGAGAGCAAGTGCCAGCTCAGCGGAACTGAAATCCCCAAAGAAATCTGCCTTTCGAAGCATGAAAAAATCGCTCTCAAAAAAAAACCTTTTGGGGGGACTGTCCAAAATCAAATCCTCAAGGTCCAACAGCCCAAAACGAAATTCAGGGGCTAGTAGCAAAGGGGAAGGAGACAACCAGAATACGTCCTCCATTCATCCAGAAATGACACCACCCACCAACGACAATACACAAGGCACTGACGGTGAGACTCCCAAGAACGATCCACAATCCAACGGAATTGGTCCTGGGGGTCTGTCTGCCTTCGCTTCACGTGCCGCCAGTAGTCGAAGACTGGAACTTGCCGATGTGGAGGCACTCGAACGGCAAGATGAAGCCACGGAAAGATCACGACCAGTGCGGCAACGAAGCAATGCTAGATTGGCTGGTGGGGTCGGGCGAAGATCTCTCTCCATGAGACGGCTCACCGTTTCCAGCTCGGAGTCTGCCAAGAACGTCACCGGAATTCAGCAAGGTGATTTTGATATGAGCAACCGGAGAGCACTTTCCAGTAGAAGACTTGTCGCCAGTAGCCATCTCTCAGCCAGAAATGTCGCCAATCTTCAACGCGTTTCCAGCACCACCAGCACCAGCAAGGGCATGGACGAAAGCAAGAGGGACAGTGCCAGAAACCAACCTGATTCCACGCCCAAGAGGAACGACAGCGGTGATCCCACCGCAATAAGAAGAAATGGAACCAATGAATCTACCAACAGCATGAAGAGAAACAGCAAGTCAGATCGTCCCAGTATCAGCAAGAGAAGAGACATTAGTGATTCCTCCACCATAAAAAGAAATGACAGCAGCGGGTCAATCAACAGCATCAAAAGGGACAGCAAATCGGAACGTTCCAGTCTCAGAAATTCTTCGAGAGCCTCGCCCAAGAGGGAAAAAGAAACAAGCAACAGCGAAAAAAGTGGCAAAGAAGCTGCCGAACAGCTACCGAGCCAATCAGAAGAGACGACAAAACAGGAGCAACAATCTGCAAGGTCCAGTCCAAGAAGCGTGCGCCCGGAACAAACCAAGGCTGTCACCGGCCAAGCGCCTCAACCTCCACCGGGCAACGCTGCAACCGCTGGCACTAGTACTGCACCTCCAGCCACTGCCAGTATGCGTTCTTCTGAGGATGAGCGCCGCCCCACCGGTATTGTACCCAGCCAGCCCGCACCAAGCCATGATCGATCGAGACGGGAAGTCGAAGTAGCTCCCACTTGTACTGCACCTCCAGCCAATGTAGGTGCTCCTGAGGATATGCACAGCCGTATTGTACCCACCCAGCCCGCACCAAGCCAAGGTCGATTGATACGGGAAATCCCCAGAGCCCCTGTTGCGGCCACCACCGCCACCGCCGCCGCCTCGAGTCTTGAAATAGCCCCACCAGCTGCACCTGCCAACTTCATGACAAGTCATCCGCAGCACCACGAGCAGCACCATGAGCAGGCCTTTGTAGCTCCAGCCACCCCTGCCAGAATTCCAGAACGAAGGAGCGCGGAAAACGTTACTCACGCTTCCCCTGCAACAACGGCAACTGCCATGACAGGGTACGAGGAGACCTTGATGCAAACACAAGCGACGACAGCAGCAGCAGCGACCACATCTTATTACGACGAGAATTACCACCATCCTCAAAACTACTACCACCAAGACCCCTACGATCCGAATCAATATCATTACCAACCAGAGTACAATGAAGTACCGCCGCCGGTAGGGGACACTGTGGCAGGATTCTACCAAGATGCGGAAGGCGAGACGTACTATTTGGATCAGAACGGAGTGGAGTATTACAAAGACAAGGATGGCAACTGGTATGCAGACTACACACCTGGTGGGGAGCAGGTCTGCTCGGATGGAGCGGGCTGGTTCGAAGACGCAGAGGGCGTTCCCTTTTACGTGGATGATAACGGTGTGGAATACTATCAAGAAGCGGATGGGGAATGGTATGGCGACCATGGTCAGCACCTGCCAAAATCTATGATGGTTGCAGCCACACAGGCGGCAATTCAGCAGCAGTAGAGACTGCTGGCCCACTGCCACAGTGAAACCTACAGAAGCAAGTGTACCTGTAATAATTGATGACATTTACTAGTGTACCTGTGCTTTCTTCAGATAGTTTAAATTGACTATACTCTAGTATACTCTAGCTAGTGGAAAACAGGTTTCAAGGCTTTCCGGCTTTCTCCAACAGGCAGCTAGCCAGCTAGCTAGCAGTTTCGTTCAATGTTGGTCTTGATCGACTGGCACAATCCACTCAAGGATTCCAACGTTTCCAGGTAGCATTGGACCGGGTCGAGAGTGCTTTGGTCTTCTTCTGCGGAGGAGGAGCCTCTCCGTGTGAGGACGACTGGTGTTTCGAGACGAACTCTGCACTCAGATTCTGACACCCGTTCCACTGTCCAGCTCAGGTCAGAGAGGGAATCCTCCATCTCTGCTGAAGAAATTGGTGATGGATTCTGCCGTTTGGAACTGGATAGGAGATCGCCACCATATTCCTCCGACACAAGATCCCAAACGACAGAGGCAGGAGCTGCAATACTAATGCTTTGTTTGGCGTGCATTTCTTTGGACGTTGCTTGGTTTTCTTCTTCTTCTTCTCGTTTGTGAGCACACTCAACTAAGGTGAATAACTAAACCGCTGTGTTGCCCAGCCCGGTCGTTCTTGTACCGTCTGGTGGCTTCAAACTGTCATTGTACCGGAAGGCTCACAACCGTGCAAAATTCGGTCCCGCGGAGTGACAGGTCGGAGTGCCTGAACCTTTCATGGAAAATAGGGTAACTGCTGAAATTACAATATTTAAATTTACCCTGTCTTTTGGACGCAACTGTGACTCCCACCAAAAATCGCGACGTCTGGATTGAAGTTTCGTGGTCGGTCTGGCAGGAGCGCTTTGACTGGATCACTTGCCTTGATAACTAGTCTAAAAGAGGAGCGACCTTGCGGCCAGGTCTTATGTATCGGACGCTGCTCTCTCTTCTAGCTAGTGCGAGCTCAAGCCATGCATTCCTTTCTAGTAGTAAGCTTTTCGTTCTGGATCCTCTTGGTTGTGTCCTCCAGCATGGCATGGCGACAAGGCAGTACTATGGTAAGTGACTCTCGGCGGTTCAGGTCTCTGGCAAGCCGAGCGAAATTCGAGATAGTACTCCTCTGTAGCCCAGCTAGCTACTAGCTAGCTTGTAGCCGAACAAGTCTGTACCGATCAGTTGACTCGTCACTCTGTCGCGAATAGCGCGCCAGAAGTCGCGGCTCCCAGGACAACGCCAGCTAGCTAGCTGCTAGATGACGGATACGGTACTAATATGCAAGCACAGAAAAATATATCGAACCTTCGATGGGAGTTCCTAACGTTATGATGTATGTATACGTGTACACAATTACTCCCTTTCCTCTACGTACATGTATTCAATCAAGAGTCCTGTTTCTGAAGCATCCTTCCCCTTTCATTTTCGTGGATCCATGGACTTGACTGTAGCTGGCTCAAATGCAAGCCAGCGAATGGGCTACCGGTACTCGTACTGGTAGCCTTGCATACCAGTATCGGTACAATACTAGTTTAGCACCAAATAGTGCAGCCTTCCACACCTTCCGCAGAATCTACCAACTCCAAACTGCCTCCTAGATCAACCAGTGCAGAGAGCAACAGGCCGTCATAGTCAAACGATTGGACTGCACTGGACACTTCCGAGGCGCTAGTCGGCGCGGGATCCGATGATGTATTGTCAAACTCAACCACCAGTTTAAATCCAAACACATAGGCCGATCCATCAAAGTAGTCCAGATAGAAAGGATCGCCTTCCACGCTGTAATTGATAAATGCATCAGAGTAAGCGTCCCCAAAACTGACTTCGTAGAATGCCAAAATGGCCGAGAGGGCCCACTGAGAGAAACACAACAACAGCAAAGGACACGCCGAGTGAGTATGGGACCACGACACACAGACAGGCATCACACAATGACAGGCCAAGCAAATGTCGATCCAATCTGATGGAGCAGCGAGTACGACGTACCTCTTCTTCTGTTGCATCCAGAGGTGCCATGGCGATACTGCTAATGTCAACGCCCAGGAGAACCGTGGTTTCAATTTCGTATTGCACAGTTGCAAACGTGGGCATGTCTGTGGGTTCGGCAGTTGTTTGCAGAGTTGGTGCTGCGGTTGGGTCCAGAGTCGGCTGTGGTGTTGGCTCTGAGGCTTCTTCACGTGCCATCAATGGCAGCGCGACGGGGGTCGGGGGACTGCTGGGTGTGCCACTCGGACTCGGGCCGGTCGGGGAATTTGATGGCGCCCCTGTTGGGGCAGGGGTCGCCGACCCCGTTGGAGAATTGGACGGCGCCCCTGTTGGGGCAGGGGTCGCTGACCCCGTTGGAGAATTGGACGGCGCCCCTGTTGGGGCAGGGGTCCCCGATCCCGATGGAGAATTGGACGGCGCTGCTGTTGGGGAAGGGGTTCCTCCAGATCCCGATGGAGAATTGGACGGCGCCGCTGTTGGGGCAGGGGTCCCCGATCCCGATGGAGAATTGGACGGTGCTGCTGTTGGGGCAGGGGTTCCTCCAGATCCGCTTGGAGAATTTGACGGCGCCCCTGTTGGGGCAGGGGTCCCTCCAGTTCCCGATGGAGAAGCGCTGGGTGAAGTAGTTGGTCCTGACGGAGCGGAACTTGGCGCTGTAGTTGGCCCCGACGGAGCGTTACTTGGTTGTGTTGTGGGGGCAGGCGTCCCTCCAGTTCCCGATGGAGAAGCGCTGGGTGAAGTAGTTGGTCCTGACGGGGCGGAACTTGGCGCTGTAGTTGGCCCCGACGGAGCACTACTAGTAGCCGTAGGGCCCGACGTTGTTGGCGTTGTGGCTGTCGTTGTGGATGCTGAAGGCTTGGAACTTGGCTGAGCTGATAGGGTTGGGTTTGCCGATGGATTAGCACTGGGTGTGTTGCTGGGTGCGTTACTTGGGGAAGCACTGGGGTTGGAACTGGGGCTTTTGCTAGGGGAAGCACTTGGATTGGAACTGGGTCTGCTGCTTGGGGAACTACTTGGATTGTTACTGGGACTAGCGCTGGGTGAGCTACTGGGCGATGAGCTGGGGCTGATACTGGGCAAGCCAGATGGACTGCTACTGGGTTGTTTGGAAAGAGAGGGTGCCGAGGATGCTGAAGGGTTGGAACTTGGCTGAGCCGATAGGGTTGGAACGTTGGATAACGTTGGGTTTGCGGATGGGTTTGCACTGGGTGCGTTGCTGGGTGTGATACTTGGGGAGCACTGGGGTTGGAACTGGGGCTGTTGCTTGGGCAGCACTGGGGCTTGTACTGGGGCTTGCACTGGGTGAGCTGGGCGATGCGGGCGGTGTGAGTACTGGGGATGTGCTGGGGCTGGCACTGGGCGAAGTGGTTGGACTGTTACTGGGTTGTTTGGAAAGAGATGGTGCCGAGGACAATGAAGGTTTGGAACTTGGCTGAGCCGATAGGGTTGGAACGTTGGATAATGTCGGGTTTGCGGATGGATTAGCACTGGGCGCATTGCTTGGGGCAACACTTGGAATCCCACTTGGCGACGATGAAGGAGACGAACTTGGAGCCTGAGAAATGGTTGGGGAACTGCTTGGTGCTTTGGATGGCGATGCTGATGGGGCAGACGAAGGCGCCAATGATACAGATGGGGCACTGGATAAGGAAGGAGCTGCACTAGGCTGTATGGATAGACTTGGACTGCTGGAGGAACTTGGATTTCCCGAAGGTGCCGATGATATGGACGGAGCGGCACTGGGCGAGCCACTGGGAGATGTGGATGGGAATTTCGTCGTAGTGGTGGGGCGGTTACTTGGAGTTGTCGAAGGTTGGTTGGATGGCGCCAAGGAGAGTGAGGGCACATTGGAGATGGTTGGATTAGCGGATGGCATTTTGGATACGGAATGGTGGAGCAGATGGTGAGGTGCTTGGTACATTACTGGGAACATCACTGGGTTGAGTACTGGGCGAAGAAGATGTGGTTGGATTAGCGGATGGCATTTTGGATACCGATGGTGGAGCAGATGGTGAGGTGCTTGGTACGTTACTAGGAACATCACTGGGTTGAGTACTGGGCGAAGAAGATGTGGATGGCTTAGCGGATGGCATTTTGGATACCGATGGTGGAGCAGATGGTGAGGTGCTTGGTACGTTACTGGGAACATCACTGGGTTGATTACTGGGCGAAGAAGATGTGGACGGATTAGTGGATGGCATTTTGGATACCGATGGTGGAGCAGATGGTGAGGTGCTTGGTACGTTACTGGAACATCACTGGGTTGATTACTGGGCGAAGAAGATGTGGACGGATTAGCGGATGGCATTTTGGATACCGATGGTGGAGCAGATGGTGAGGTGCTTGGTACGTTACTGGAATCACTGGTTGACTACTGGGGCAGAAGAAGTGGATGGATTTGAAGACGGCATTTTGGATACCGATGGCGGAGCGGATGGGGACGTACTTGGAATATTGCTTGGAATATTACTTGGCTGGTTACTGGGTGACGAAGACGTGGATGGATTAGCAGAGGGACTTTTGGACACGGATGGGGGAGCCGATGGTGAAGTACTTGGTACGTTACTGGGAGAAGTGCTTGGGGATGAACTAGGGCTTTTCGAGACGGATGGACTTTGGCTTGGACTTTTGGATACCGAGGGTGTAGCACTGGGGGATGAGGAAGGAGCTTGAGAAGTGGAAGGATTAGCAGATGGCATTTTGGACGTCGACGGAGCAGCGGATGGAGATGTACTGGGGATGTTGCTGGGAGCGATCGAGGGAGTCGCACTTGGACTTTTGGAAATGGAAGGACTAGCAGATGGAATCACAGAGGTGGAGGGACTTGCTGTGGTGGGAGTTGTCTGCAGTCTTCTGTGCTCACTACTAGTCTTACTAGTAGTGGTGGTAGTAGCAGTAGTTTCACATGGCAATTGAGTGTGCAAATTATCCAAATAAAAATACCCCAAGAAAATTTCCTTCAATGCTTTACATTCTTCTTTCTTGGTACTAGCAGTATCAGTATCAGCAACACAATCCAACTGAGCATCTTGACAGAAAGCTTGACAAGCTAGTCTCACTTGTTGATCAGCCACAAACCCACAAATGTCTTTTTCTTTGGTGGCATCCTTAATGGTATCCTCAGTTGGCACTCTAAGAGCCTGAGAAAAAGCAAACTGGCTCAATGCCAATAGAAAACAAACAGAAAACAAACTCTTCATCTTTACTCAATGGATAGCTAGCTTCTTTCTCAGATTTTCAAGTGCAATTTGTGACTTGCAACTTGTAACCCTAGTTGAGAAGAAAACAAAATAGTGAGAAAGATGTGACCTTGGCTGTGAGAAATGCATCCGTGAGTGAGTGAATGAATGAGAGGGATGTGAGAAAGATTGGGAAGGCCGGGTCTGACATCAGTTCTTGATTTCGACTAACTAATTAGACGTTTCCTACCGGTCCAGTCAACTATCAGAGATCTTTTAGATCTTTTAGTCCTTGGGCTTCCCGTCTTCAGTACTACTATTAATAGCTACACAGGGCACTGCACACACATCATGTCGAATTTGGACCGCGTCGAACACCCAACCAACTCCAAACAGCTCTCCTCGAATCTCCAACGGTTAAGGGAGACATTCTCAAGAGCTTTCTCAAGCGTTCTTTTTCTTCTTTGGCTCGACTGCTTTATAGCTTTCAAAGGAGGTTCGGGAGTGATGACCCAATGAAAGCAACGCAATTCAACCACCGGAATGTTCAGTTGGTGCATCCTCTATGTCTTTGTTTACCCCAACCAATTTGCACAGCCATCCAAGATCCAGTTGGTACCCATCGCTGTGCAGCTTTCGCACTTCTTGCTGGCTAGCTACTTCAGTCTCACTCGTAAAAGTGTGCTGTCACCTTGTGTATTCGCCCCAAGCCCCATGTTGCACCCCAAGCGAAAGGGTACAAGCAAGTATCGTGTATCGTGCCAACGTCGATGGCCACAGGTGTCGTGGATCGTCGATTGCCAACGGATTTCTATCCTTGCTCGTTTCAATCCTTCGAGCAAGCCTCGTTTCCATTCCTTTGAACTATTTAGCTGTTTATTATTATTATTTAAAAATGAGTCATGACCAGTGTCACAACTGTGACACGTATACCTTTGATTGGTGCAATGAGTCATCACTATACATATTACCCTTCTCAATGACTCAGGAACAAAAAGATCTTTTGCGACAGGATCCTCCACTCTTTGCTCACTTTTTGACTCACCATCCATATCAAACACAAAGAGAGGCGGCTTCTTCGAGCCAGTAGTAGACTTCTGGAGTACGATCTGCGTTTCAGCAGTCCAAACTCTAGCTAGCTAGCTTACCCAAACAAACTCATCAAGCAAAAAGTTGTCTGCCAGGATCGCCTACGGTATGCAGTCAACATGTCGTTCATTCGTTCATCATGAATGGAAAGGAAAGGCAGCTAGCTAGCTAGCCACGTGAGTGGCTGTTGAACGATTATGTAGAGAGTGTGTGCGCATCTATTTGCTATTGCACGGGGAAACAGATGGAAACGTGGGAAGGGTTTGTTTCATTTGTGGTTTTACCCAAACAACTACTAGTACTGTGCGGTATTTGCAGGAAAGGAAGGAGTGGAGAGGCAAAGTCATGTTCGGGGAGGGCAAAAGGCATTCCGAGAATGGAAACATACATTCAGGAAACAACATTGTATGTAATGCATGCACTTGCTTCTATTTTATTATTCTTAGCGCTCTGTTTGGTCTTTCATGAGCTAGCTAGCTAATCCTTTTATTCCCAATGGTTTGCAGCAAATGTTGTTGCCTCTCATATAGCTGAGCTGTGAGCCTGTTGCTTGCCTTTAGTTTGAGCATGACTTGAAGGAAGGTTTGTCTCCTGGTAAGAAATTCCAACCAAGTCTGGTGACACTCGGGAGGAGTGTAGTCCAAGGCAGTGAGACCCCGATCGTCTTTGACAAATAAGAGCTCAGGAGCATCCGCCAAAACCATGGAAGCAATTTCCATGTGGGCAGGCTGGCTGAGCGCACAAAGTTCATGCAGTAGGGTCTTTCCCGAAGTATCGCATATTCGAAGAGGAACCTTGATTTGCTTGACCAGATACTGCATGACCTTGACAGATCCCTCTCGACAGGCCAAGTGTGCCAATCTTTCCCCCAACACGTTGCAGCAATTCCAGTCTAGCAAACCTCGGAACCAAAGCGTTTGCAGGGCTTCGGGTTCATCTTTGCGGAGAGCCCTGATGATCTTGGGTGCAAACTGATCAACCATCTTGTGTGGAAGAGTTTCAAAGTATGCGTTCCAGTCAAACGATGGCTCTGGAATTTTGGCGTCCTTTCCAAGGATGCCCGGCAATTGGTAAAACAAGCTGTCCTTGTCTTGTTGTACCGTGTCCTTGTCTTGTTGAACAGTGTCCTTGTCTTGTTGTACGAGGTCGGTCGAAGAAAGGTCCTCTGGCGCTGGCACCAGTACGGGCATGTCGTCTTCAGTGGTCTTGTCTGGGTGCTCCGAGATGGTCGTGACGGTGCTCGTGGCGGTCTTGGAGGTGCTGCTTCTCCGTCGGCTCTTGCTGCTGCGTCTTCTCGAGGCCTTTTCGTGACTGCTGCGTCTTCTGGACGACTTGTCTTTGTCGTGACTGCTGCACTTGCTCTCCAAGAAGTCGTCGAACGATTCATTCGTTTTGCTCGTCGTGCTGGAACGCCGGCGACTGCTGCTGCCGCTACATCTCTTGGAAGCACTAGTGTTGGAAGTACGGAGACGACGGGAAGACTTGTCCCTGGTCATGGCACCATAGGATCCCTCTTGTTGTTCTTCGTTGTCGTGCATGCTCACGCGAAGCCCGGCACTGCTGCTGTTACCAAGAAGCCTGGCACTGCTGCCATGGTAGAGTTCGAACAGATGCAGGTCTTTGGCAATATCGTCCCACGAAGAGTCGTCCAACGAAGCAGCGCCCAGCGATTCCGCGTCGTTGTTTACGCCGTTGTTTACGCCGTTGGTACCGTTGTCACCGTTGTCATTGGTCGCACGATTACAACACGACGGGTATTCGACTTCGACCTCGACCTCGACTTGGCTTACCGGGATCTTCTTGGCATTCTTATTGGCATTCTTATGAAGCGGCTCCTGAGCTTGCATGTCGATGTTAAGTGTCGCGGGAATGGACGCTGCTTGACGACATGCGCAGATGCGCTCATCTTGTGCTCGGCTTTCAATGGAACTGGACATGCCGTTCGAGGATAGCTGGTGCATCATGGTCGTTGCTTGCACTTACTTGCACTTGCTATTAATAGCTCTTTGCTAGCTATTAATAGCTAACACCGAGTAGATAATACTACTAGTAGCACTGCAGCCAGGCAGATGAATTGAATTGCATGAAAGTTCTTGCTTTAGTTTATGAGCCTTCCAAGGAACTCCAGCTTACCGAAGCTAGCAAGCTCTGGCTACCAGTACGAGCTTGTCAATATCCAGCTAGAGACAGGACCAAAGGGCAATCCAACTATTCGTGGTGCAAGGACAGTAAGTAGAAAAGAAAGAGAACTGGACATGAACCGACGAGACTGTATTCACCGGTATTAGGTGGTATGGGTGGTGAATTCATATCAGGTGTTTACCTGACCAAAGAGCCATTACAAGTACGTGTTGGCCCTTTGCTTATTGCATTGTGGCCTACGTGGTGGCTTTCTGGTCATTCTTTCATCCATCTGGGACTCTTGGACAGAAGGAGCAAGGTCGAAAACAAGGCAAATAATTCCCTCTAGGCTTGATTCCTGTCATTCCTGTGGTTCCTTGTCGGTTGATAAATAGCCACGAGCATAGCCTTTAGAGGAGCAGCTTTGCTTGTTGGGCCACATCACACATCTTGTTATCATGTTGTACAAAATCATAATGCTCCTTTCGATAGATGAAGTCGTGACACCGGCAAGAAGACCAGAAACCATCCAAACAAAAAGTGACACGGGCAATACCTATCTGCCAAGTTCCAGACACAGCGCCTTAACCCAAAGACCGACAAGAGGCTATACCTATTATAGACTACATACTACGGAGCATACACATCCAGTATCAGCTGGATACCAGTATGCTAAGAAAGCAGAGCAAAGACTTTCACTTAGCTAGCTAGAGCACAAGAGTAGATAGTAGATAGTAGCTACCAGCAACCAGTGGACAGCTACTGTAGCTACATGTAACCAAACTATTAGTGCCCAATAGCAATGCCAAACTAGGTAGCCACGCAGTCGGTCTTCTTGTCACTCAAGACCAGATCTGCGGAGGGCGGCAACTGTACCATAGACTACACAAACATTGACCGTAAGACCTCCTTGGACACCTTTGCTTCAAGGGGCCAGCCATCAGCCAGAAGATTCGATTCAAGCAAGCGCACAGACAGACTGCAAGGGGTACCAGCAGCAGCACCACTGGCCAGCTAGCTACTTCCGTAATCACGGACACAATAGTACATGAGAAGGCAAATCAGGTAGCTTCCTTCCTGCACGTGGTGCACGTATGTCAAGTTCTGCATCTAAGTTTCAGTCCGCATGCCATAAAACTCGCAATTGCGCCACGTACTACCGGACTGAGAAGATACAATGCCACTGCTGCTCAAGCTGTTGCTGATTCTAAAGTTCGATGTCAACAAAAAACCTGTTTCAGATTGGCATCGCACCGTCCACCACTGCAGTCTTGCTGCCTGTTCTGTTCGTTCCAGTTAGCCAGTAAAAGCCAGCGAGAGCTATTATTTATCCCGACGTACCGGTACGGAAGCTACTAATGGTATCTGATGAGGACAAATAAGCGGTAAGGGGACTAATAAGTGAACTGAGTTCAGTGTGTTACCCATCCCTGTTCCCACCGGTAGAGGATCATTATACAAGAACACCAAGGAGCTATGATTACCAAATTGGCTAGCTAGTCTCAACCACTCTACTCTTGTCAAGGATCATCTGAAGGAACTGTTGCTGCTGCGCCACCAGCTGTGCACTCCTGCGATTACTGGACTTGAGTTGCAACATGACCTCAATGAACGATATCTTTTGTTTCAAGTACCGGCACCATTCTTGACGACATTTCTGGGGAACGTACTCCAGGGCAGTCCAACCACGATTGTCTCTGGCAAAGAGAAGCTCTGGTGAATCTGATATTAAAATGGAAGCAATCTCCAATTGGGGAGGATGTGTAAACCAGCACACTTCATGAAGCAGTGTCTTGCCCGACTTGTCCCTGACTCGGAGGGGTACTTTGGCTTGCTTAGCCAGGAACTTGAAAACATTCACGGCTCCTTCCCGACAAGCCAGATGAGCCAGTCGCTCTTCGTGAGTGTTGCAAGAATCCCACTCAAGTCCACCCTTCTTCTCCAGCTTCTGCAAAGATTCCAGGTTGTCTTTGTGCAGTGCCTTGATGGTCTTGGAGGAAAATTGATGCACAGCAGTAGTAGGAAGTGGATGAAAGTATTCTTCCCACTGGAAAGAATCGTTTGGAATGGATTTGTCTTGGAGAAGAGAGAGCAAAGAATCATAAGGTTTGCCAGTGAGTTCCAGGTCATGCTTCTTCTGCTGGATGTTGTTGTTTCCCCCTTCTTGATCACTGGAGCAGACACTACTAAAAATAGACTCATCCGAGATGGAAGGTCTAGTTAGTTGCTTGGTAATGATACCGCCTGTTGTAGGAAGTTGCACGAATTTCTTTTCCAAAAAGGACTTCAAGCTACGACTACTACTGGCACCAGTAGTACTGGTACCTTGGTGCTCTTGCAATTGATCTTCCCTCAAAAGAGGACCGACATTGGAAGTGCCAATCAGTGTGATCCTCCTCTGGAACGGTTGGAAGGTGGAATCTGGATCTCCATTGCAAGAAGTTTTACCTGTATGAGACATGGAAAAGTGCTTTGCTTCTTTCTTGAGCTTCTTCCCACGTGGTGGCGGTTTTGCACGGGCAAGAAACGTGCTATTTGCTTGAGGTCTCGACGAAACGGCGGGTTGATGCACATTCACATTCCAATGAACGTGCTTGTTTTCATACCGAACCAGCTCCTTTGCTATGTCATCCCACGACGAAGAGACGCTGATCCCTGCCAAGGACCCGTTGGAGAAGCGATGCGAATTCAAAACTGACTGATCGAGCCCGTGGCCATCACTGCCGTTGGTATCTGAGCTCTTGCCCTTACCAGTACCAGTACTATTTATAGTACCTTGAGAGGGCTCCAGCCGCTTCTGCTTGAAATCGTTGAGGATATTGGGCTGCTCTGGCTTGAGCTTGGTCGGTTGGAAGCTAGAGTGCATCATGGTGGTGGTAGTTATTAGCAACAAGTAGCTAGAAAAATGAAAGTGAGAATATTATGAACTGGAAGGTACCGGTAACAGCTTGGAAAGAGGAATTGGTTTGGTCAGTGGGACGTTCAGACTTGAGAACTGGTTGCCACTTGCACTACTAGCATGTGATGCCAGCTAGCTTGGCAACTTGAATACTGAAGCTGTGCTTGCTTGTGGAAGTGGGGCCCTTACTGTCTCAATTGCAGTACTTCAGTCCGTTGCCTTGGGCTTCTTTTTTACTGTTGAAGAAGGCGAGTGATTAAAAAGCCTGCGGACTAAACTGCCTCCAGTGGGTTGCATATTTGCGTATTACCACCCGATGCACCCACAGATCACAATGCTCGACAGCAAGACTTAGCAACAAGCAACCGATACGAGCAGTCGCGATCGGTGTGTGCATGCAAGCAATCACAGATGGAAGGAAACTGCAACCACAAAACGAATACCCTCAACAGCCACAAGCAGAACTTCATTGTTTGAGCTGTGTTTGCTACCGGAGCTCTACCAGCATCCCAAGAACCTGGCATTCACAGAGCGACGCAGTAGTTCGTAGACTGGCCCACTGGGACTTCGCTTTTGAGAATCATATTCGCTGCAGTAGGCGTCTTTACGCAAGAGTTGCTTGAGGGGATGCAGTCTGGCTAGCCAGTCAGCCAGCTATTTATAGTAGCAATACTCACTTCTGAGCCTGAACTAGATTGGGACATGGTTGGTACAGCCACAGAACTAGTACTAGTATGGTCGCTGGCTGGCCAGCAAGCTGCTAACTAGAGCTCTGCTACCGATACTAGCTAGTGTGCATAAAGCTCTCCTTCCGCAGCGGCGCTGGTAGAAAATAAATGTTCAAGTGTTTTATTAAAAAATTAATTATTAGGCTCTGGGCTCTCATCATGACTGTGACTGACCAAACCAACTACTGAGTAGGTATTAAAGCCGACTTGAACCTTGGAACCTTTGAACATTCTGAGGGCAGTAGAAGATCAATTGGACACAAGTTTCAAGATTTATTGCATCGTCACAATTCTGTTCGGTTGCTGTTTCCCTGGTTCCCTGGTTCAGGTTGGGGCAAGCTTGATGGCTACGATTATCGAATAGCGAATAGCATAGTCATCCAGGTTCTAGCTAGCTACTTGATCGCTTGCTGTCTAGATCTAGCCAGCATTGTTGCCGGTACCGGTACAGCTTCGCCCTCGTTCAAATTGTTCAAGACAAGACTGTCTGAAGAAAGGCAGCAATCACAAAATCGGAAAGCGGTTCCAAGCTAGCTTGATGGAGCTCCCACCGCTTCCACTGAGGCTGGACCAGCCCGCAGTGTCAACTGACCAGCATGCAGCACCATCTGGGTTAGTCTGACAGCAGGGCTATTTCCTACAGATTGGTTTGCACATTTGAACTACACTTGTTACAGATCCTTTTTCTCGCTGAGTCGAGCTACGTAATATTCAGATTGGCTTGCTTAGGCTGAAGCCTGAATTCAAGATATTGCCTAGCAGCTACTGGTATGCTACTAGTCTAGTACCATGTCCACAAAACCATCATGCGTCTTGGCTACAAAAATATGCTAGATAGTAGATACGAAACTGTCATTCAGTTGCTTGGAAAAGAGCCATAGTTATACTATCCTCTATTTAGTTCAATGGTGACGGAAGAAGGCTTTGCCTTGACTTCATCAAGATGCACTGCTGGACTGCGCCATTCTGCCTGTCTGTTTCTGAATGATCTGAAGCAAGCGTTGTTGCTTCTCGTACAGTTTGGCAGATTCTCTAGTGCTGGATTTGAGTTGCAACATTAGCCGGATGAATGATTGCTTCCGTTTCAAATACACGCACCATTCTTTGCGACACTTTTGAGGGACGTACTCCAGGGCTGTCCAACCACGTGAATCTGGTGCCCACAACAGCTCTGGTGAGTCAGCCAACAAGATGGAAGCAATCTCCAACTGGGGAGGATGTGTAAACCAACAAACTTCATGGAGCAAAGTCTTGCCAGACTTGTCCCTCACTCGGAGGGGTACTTTGGCTTGCTTGGCCAGGAACTTCATTACTTTCGCTGCTCCTTCACGGCTTGCAAGATGAGAGAGTCGTTCTCCATACTTATTCTGGCAATTCCAGCTGAACATGCCTCTTTTATGGAGCTTTTGCAGTGCTTCAGGATCATCCTTATGCAGTGCCTTGATGACCTTGGAGGGGAACTGATCCATTGTGGCACTGGGAAGTGGATCAAAGTATTCCTCCCACGAGAATGAATCATTGGGCGTGGAAACATCCTTGAGAAGAAGCTTCAGACAGTCTGACGGTTTGCCCGAAAGCAGTGGATCATCGTGTTTCTTTTGTTTCTCGCTTGTGCTGATGCTTTGCGAATCTTCTGATACTACGGAAGGTGTACCGGTAGGGGGTTTCTTAGTACTGGTAGTGACTGCCTCTGCCTCTGCCTCTGGGGCTGAACCTTTCTTCTCCAAGAAGGCCTCCAATGTGCCTGCTGCTTGTTTTCCCCTCAAGAGAGGAAGGATCGAGGCGCCATCCAGAAGTGTTGGCATTCTTTTAAAAGCCAGCTCATTGCTACTACCGGTACTGGTACTACTGCTGGTTGCTTTGGGCTTCCTGTGGTATTCAAAATTACGCAAGTCTTTGGCAATGTCATCCCACGAGGAATCTACTGATGTCATAGAGAGGATGCTGCCAACAGACCCGCTTGAAAGGCGATGTTTAGTTGCTGCTAATCTAGTTTCATGATTGTAATGGTACTGGGAGGGCAGAAAGTTAGCGTTAGAAACGTTGCATGCACTCTGTTGGTCATGGTGACCGTTGCAGCTCAGTGGGCATGGCATCATTGTGCACTAGTCTAGCTTGCTAGTAGCTGTTGCTGTAATGGAATTGTGAGCAAGTTCTTTCGCAAGGCACCTCCCTTGCTTTCCAACCCCTTTCGTAGCTACTTGTTGGGGGCACGGGTAATACTGGGCGGGATATGCATCTCAAGAAGAACCAAAGTATCCAAGGTGACCAACTTAAAAAAGTTAGTTGCTGTAGCGCAACATGAGCGATCCACCCGTCGTCACGGTCCCGTACCAGTACTGCTGGGCTATCAGCAATCAGCAACACCTTTAAAATGCTGCCAGGAACTCGTTCTTGCCGGAGCTGAGAAAGCAAGCAAAGTGATTAAAAAGACGCTGCGGAGGTCTGGGGACCTACAGTGGTACGGCACTCCAGCTGGAGCTACTATAGCTGGCTTCATGAAGCTTTGGAACCCAGAGTAACAGTCGTCTGATGAACTATGCGGCAGTGCACCTCCCACCTTGGACTTTTGGCCAATGCCACTCCCAGCCAATCTTGGACTTTTGTTGCTTTCAGCTACGGTGAGTACTAGCTAGTACTGTAGTAGCTAGCCAGCTGCTTCTGCTGCTGGAGCAGCTTCAAAAGCTTCGTGCTTGTAGTTGTAGACACCTCAGTCGCCGCTGGAGTGACAGTCAAGCCGTTGACCTTTACTTACTTTTTACTGCTCGGATAGTATTTCATTTGCGAGATCGAACTGGGCTTCGGTGAACGAAATGTGCAATAAGTGCTGTTCTCCTAACTCACCACGTAAGTGATCGATTTGTTCCTCAGCACGCCTTGGTGTTCGTGCAAGTATTCTCGATGAATATTGCCCTATTGCTCCCCACAAGAATGACTTCAATCTGATCTAACCCAACACGTCAGCCACCGCAATACCCCAATCCAAGAGCAACCCAAGACCATCGACCACCACATCCCAAGATGGGACCGCCCTGCTGCAGGACTGCCAGTAGATGTACCGGTAGGTAATGCCCAGAGTAGCTAGCTAGCCAGCAAGTATTAGGATCTTCTATTCTATCCTTTTGGTACATGTAGCTGTGGATGATTCGATTCCAGTCTGCTGTGGGATCGTTGAAGTTTGGTTTTGCCAACTCGCTCTTGGAGATGGATCCTAGGCCTGGCTAGCTGAGGGCTTCGTTGGAGCGTTCTTCTACATGTATGAATGAAGGAATTGAGCGTTGCTTGCAACGCACATCCTGGAAGAAGCTCTGGAAGGCCACCGGCTAGAGCCAAGCAAACTGAAATTTTCAGAGTAGTCGTAGAGCATCAGCCAGCCATGCTTTCAGCCCTCACGCTGTCTGGGCGGATCGACAGAACCAAGGGTAATGCATCAATAATGTGTGTTGCTAGGCTACCGGTAGCTGGTACGAATAGTGTACTGAATAGTGTACTGCAATGGCTTAGTTTATCAGGATAGGAAGCAGGAAGTTTATACGTACATATACACACATACAGGAGGGAGGATGAATTCAATTCATGGCTGATCAAGTTCACAAAGCCATTTTCTCCATGAGTTTTTTCATTCGTTCTTGTGCATCATCAATTTTTCGGTGTGCCTTGTGGACACTAATGTTCGTGACGAGACGCCGTATTTGGTCTTGGTGCTCATCGAAGAAGGAGCGCCATTGCTTCCAAGCAGCCTTTGGTATGTACCGCAGAGCCGAAAACGATCGCTTGTCCTTGACAAAGAGCAACTCGGGAGCTTCTTCGACGATGAGTTGTACCAGTTCAAAGTTTGGCTTGGTGGTCCATGCGGCATCGTGGAGTGGAGTTCTGCCCGCGTCATCCTGCACGAGAATGGAAACCTTGGCTTCGTTGATGAGGAACTTGACAACGTCGGCATTGTTCAAGCGGCAAGCTAGATGCATCATGCTTTCTCCTTGGGGGTTGCACCCCCCCAATGAGATTCCATCTTGGAGTAGTTCCTGGAGCCTGTCTAGGTCCGCAGCCCGGATGGCAGAGGACACGGCCATCTTGTGAGCTTCGATCCTCTCGTCAGTGACGGGATCAAAGTGTTCTTCTTGGAGTGCGGTAATGGCAATGCCTTGCAATAGATCTTGAGTTAGGTATTCTTCGGGTGACTTTGGCCCTCCTGCTGCTTGGTCTGGCTGGACGTGTGCATCAGGGGACTGAAAGTACGAGTTCTGAGCTGCCTTGTCCATTCGCTCTTGGAGGATCGCGGAAGATACCATGGGCATGCTAGCATTGCGCGGTTGAGCATTGCTAGCTAACGCCCGGACAGCCGCACTAACAATCGGAGCGGAAGCTCTGCGGTTCTTCACTTTGCGCGGTCGTGGACGAGGTCGACTCCCGGTACTCGCGCGCATTGCCGTGACTCCACGACATCGGTGGCGTTTATCAAAGTCCAGGAGCTCGACTTCGAGGTCGTCAAGGTCGTCGAGATCCGAAAGCGCTTCGCTGTACTCACTACCAGCGCCATCGTTGTCATTGTCATTGTCATTATCGATATCGTCGTGGCCACGGTGCATGCTGCTCGAGTACGAAAACGAGGCGTCTTCGGAATACGCCGTTGTTTCCGTGCCGTCGGAGAGTAAGGACGCACGCTTGCTCTTGCTATAGCTCAGGCTGCTCGCGGTGCTCTCGTCCATGGCGCTACTATTGCTGCTGGTTTCGCTGGACCTAAGGTGCATCAGGGCCTGTCGCCGTTGGTCTCTGCTGCTGCTCATCATGGTTGCTTGCTTGCTTCTGTTATTGCTATGTCAGTAAAATGGGTTTGTGTGCTTGCAAGCTCTAGCTAGCTAGGTTGGTTGGTCCAATTTATGGTGGTGGCTAGCTACTACTGAGTAGTAGACTATTAATAAAATAGTAGTACAATGCAAAACCGCCTTCGCGCTTTACTGCCAGTGCGGGATCGTGATGTTCGACCAAGGCAATATCTCAGAGTTCCAGCTGCCTGACGTGGTAAAAATTAGGTCATAGACTCCTTATCGCTGGCAATCGAAAGAACGCCGGTGAAGACTATTCGTAACCGACGGATTTATTCAAAGAATTGAAGTGTCAGACACAGCAAAGCGGCAATAAACTTCATAAGAACGCTAGGTCTTGTGATTCTCAGATGGTTTGGCAGGGAGAAGATTCATTTATTACGTTTGAAGATCTTTGGCAGATTTTGCTTCAATTTGGTCATTGCCATGAAAACACGGGTTTAGGGTCCATTGAAGTTGAAAATGTCTTAGGAATCATACGATTCTCAGTAAGCAGTTTTCAGTATGCATCTGTGCATGGGGTAGAACCTTTCGACGATGCGGTGCAGTACTTGTACACTGGTACAAAAGAGCTCCAGATCAGGCTGGATCAACTTCCACAGCCCACAGCACACCCAACACTAGAGGATGGAACCGCAAACGCTAGGGTCAAGCGTAGCGTTTAAACGCTAACAGGTCCCCTTAGCGTTTGTTATTATGCGTTTTTTAGCGTTTTTTATTACTATGAGCTCAGCGTTTTTGTTAGCGTTTTATTAGCGTTTTTGTTAGCGTTTCTGTTAGCGTTTTTTACAGTATTGGTGCACTACAATAGAGTGCAATCAGACTATTTTAAAAGAATGGTGTGATTCTTTCAGGCCCGATGGTGCTATAGAACCATACCAACACGCACCGGCACCAGTACCACTGTCCAGAAAGTTCATCTATATGTATAAGGAGTTAGTTCATGTTTGGTCACTGCAGCACATCCTTCCAGATAACCCAAAGTAGCATATTTGGTCTTATTTTGCATCCAAACAGGTCATTTTCAGGCCCGATAGTGCTATAGAACCATACCAACACGCACCAGCACCAGTACCACCATCCAGAAAGTTCATATATATGTATAAAGAGTTGGTGAAGTAAGTTATACAAGGTTGTAAGTGGCATCTTCATTGAAAAACGTTAAAGACAGAGATAAAACGCTATAAAACGCTATAAAACGCTAAAAACGCTGTTTTTATACACTACTACACAAACACGCTAAAAAACGCAAACGCTTGGGGCTAGCGTAGCGTATAAAACGCTACGCTAAAACGCTAAAAACGCTACGCTAAAAAACGTTGCGGTTCCATCCTCTACCCAACACCCAACTGTTTGGGATCCAGCTTGCTATGTTCAAAGTCACTCAAAAGCAGCAGGTTGTTAATAATAATATTATTATGAATTATGAGTTTCACGCGATGACCGAGGAGAAAGGCCTGGCTATAGGATCGCTGAGTCCGGCAAATCTCGACTAGTCTTGCCGCATATCATGTAGCCCGAAAAGCCACAACTGGTCAGCTACATGTGGTCGGGCAGGGCGCCATCTGCAAAGGGCATAGGCGCCACTTCATTGGCCAGTAAGAGCGCACCTCAATGGCCCTAGCTAGGCGTGGCCTATCTCTCCGCTCGCCACCTTTAACATGCCCTTGGCTCACAGGCACAATGGCACTACCTGGTACCAACAGCCCCCCTGCCTCCCACGAATAGCTATTAATAGCTTGCTTTCATGCAGTTGTCTGTAACCAGTCGAAGGCAGTGCTGATCATGAGCAAGCAACGTCGCTTGGTATAGTAATGTGCAGTCGCAACGTCGAATCTATCGACTAAATAAGCTGTATAGCATGTTGAGACACATCTT